TTAAGTGGAATATCTTTACTATTGATTATGTACAAAAATGACACTAACTTCATTTATTCTTCAGATTTGTTATTCATTTCCATATTCATTCAACAAAATCTATTAGGCACTTATTATATGACAAATGTGCTTAAAATCATGAGGGACATACTATATAGATGCTGGCCCTGAGGCACTTACATTTTATTTCAGTGATAGAACATACATAGTGAAGTCAGTTGAAGGTAGCAAACATGAAAACATCAGAAGAGAAAGAGAAATAATGGCCTTGGGAAACCAGAGGTAGAGATTTCTAGTAGAAAGATTCAGAGAATATTTGTCAAGAATATAACATGGCATGGAGTCCTCAGATAGGGCAGGGTTTAGACCTGAAGAGAAGGTAGAAACAGTCCTCATAAGTAGGTTACTGTGTGAGTATGGAAATGGTTAATGTTATGATTTGGATCTCAAATGTTTTCCCCAAAGCTCATGTGTTGAAGACTTGATTCCCAGCGGGTGACGCAATTGGGAGTTGGTAGAAACTTTAGGAGGCAGGGGGGACTAGTTGGAGGGTGTAGATCACTGCGGGCATGCTCTTGCAGGGTATGTTGGGACCTTCATGCCTTGCTCTCTCTTTACTTCCTGCCTACCATGAGTTGAGCAGTTGTCCTCCACCACCTGCTCCCTGCCATGATGGGCCTCACCACAGTCCCAAAGGCAACAGGGTCAAGTGACCACGGACAGAAACCTCAAAAACTGAGCCAAAATAAGCTTCTCCTGTTTACGGGTTGTCTATCTCAGGTATTTTGTTTATCTCAGGTATTCTGTCACAATAACTGAAAACTTACTAACACGTTTTTAAATAAGATTCGTGAAATATTCTTGTATTACAATCCTATGACTGAATCCCTTCTCTTACACTTAGTGAGGTATATGCCTTGCTCTTTTGCCTAAACAGAAATGCCAAAGATCTATCTTTTTTGTTTGTTTGTTTCTCTTTGAAGACACAGATTTTGGTTTTGTTAACCTAGTTTCCCAACTTTTGTCCCTTTCATCAGTTTTCCTAATTCCCTCATCAATACCTAAACATTTAATGTAATTTAAAAGCCAGAATAATGTACAGATGCTATATCAAAAAAAAAAAAAAGGTTCCTTGGTCACTTTTAAGCAGAACCTGTCTTTAGGTGCTACCTAGTCACAGAGCTGTGTGATTCTTTTATCATTATCTGGCTGGAAATATGCTGGGCCATTTCAATCTGAAACTTGTGAATTTATTTAACTCAAAGAAAATTGCTTCTGTTATTTATTCCCTCCCCTCTATTTCTCATGCCTCTTTCTGGAGCTCTTATTAATGTGCATCTTTAGGATTTGTCTCCACATCTCCTGTACTTTCATCCTCCAATGCTCTTTTTGCTTTAAGTTCTTGAAGACTTATTGTATTATTATTTTTTAATTTGCTACCTATTACTAATTTGGCTGTCATCTATGTCTACTCAACTCTTCATACCTCTTTTATTTGTTCTTTCTATTTTTCTAAATTAGCAATAACATATTTTATCTCTTGTATCCTGCTTGTTCATTTTATCATAGCTGTTTTAGGGGGCAAATTCCTTTCAATATTTTCCCAGGATGTCTACTATAATATTTTCTTACGTTCTGTATTGCTTGAACTACTTTGTGCTTTTGTTTGCTCGCCTTGGCCTTTTCTCTTATGCTTTTGGTTTTCCTCAGATGTTTAGTTCACTAACATTCATGGACCAAGATACCTATTACTCGAGGTGGCCAGCAAGACCTTTCCCTGGTCTGAGTGTGTTTCCTAGGGAGTCTCCCCACTGGAACTGCTGACAGGCCCTTTGGATGAGCAGGAAGGGTATGTTCACTGGCAGCCATCCTCTCAGGATGCTCAATTGTGGACTATAGGTACACATGAGTTAGAGAACCTCTTTCTCAACTGCTGCCTTTCTTCTCCTTCCCTGCCTTTATTCTGGTCAAGCTGTGTCTGTTCTGAAACCCACATGCAAACTGCTTTCGTTAGGTGATTTGCCTCCATTCATCAGATGTCAAAATCCACTGCTGACTCCTGCTCAGGGAAGGGGACAGCAATACCTCACTGGCTCTGTGTGTCACAAGTTTTGGAAGCAGTTCTTTAATTAGCTTTAAAATTATTCTAGAAAACCTTCCTGCTCTCTGCATTTGTTCTTCTGTTCCTGGAGTTTCTCTAGCTCTTCTTTACCTTTACAGTACATTCCTCCTGAATGTGTTTAGACTGTAGTATTTTTGCACCTGATAATCTGATTCCACTTTCATCTCCCAGAACTGTCTCAAGGTTCAGCTCTTCCAGTGCCACCCTTTCTTGTTGCCCATCACTATATTGTGAATTTACATATTTTTAAATACTTCTTTAACATTTTTCAAGACATTTTAGACTATAAAAAAGGTTGAGGTATGTGCTAAGTCCATCATCTTGATTCAATCTTGAGACATCTTGACATTTTATAATCTATGAGCAGTTCATCTTGTTGATTCTGTAGGCTATTTGGTGACTGTCTGAATATTGGGGCTCAGTCTTAGTTGTCCTTCCCAGTTTTAATTAAGATTAGATGCCCAGAAGTCACTGGTGGCAATTAGATGAGAGCATGCTTTCTCACCAGCTCCCCATTGGACACGAAGCAAGGTGGTTCTGTTTTCCCCAAGTAAAGTTAACCATAGGAGTAGGAGGTAGTCTTCCAAATCCTTATTGAGGTATGCAGCCTGCATCCTAAGTCTCTCTTGACCTTCTAACCTTCTGTAGTCTGAGTTGTGTCCCATTCCTTCACTGAAATCACTCTTCTGAAGGTTATCAGGGACTTTACACTCATCACTACCTGTGGCCATGGTGGCTTCAGCTCAGGAATGTATAAATATACAAGTCATCTCTCTCTGAAGGGCTGTTTGCAGTTCTTTCCCTGGGGGCTTCCAGTTACCTCACATGAACTTTGTCTTCATCTTCCACAAACCTGCTCTTCCTTCTCTTAYGTTTTTTTGTCCAGATATTAAAGTCAAAGCTGAGGTGTCACCCAAACCCCTGTCCTACTATAGTCCTTTCACCCTTACCTTCTAACCACACTGTGTATGCTGCTTACCTCCATGGGGACTCATTGCTCATTTCCTGTTGGTCTCTCAGTTTTTAGCTTCATTTAGATCTAAAGCATTTTCCCCCAGTACTTGGGATTAAACTCAGGGCCTCACACAGCTAATCAGCCCCTCTAACTCTGAGCTGCATCCACAGTTCTTATATTTTATAAGTGTCTCCCTAAGTTGCCCTGGCCGGTTTTGAACTTGTGATCTTCCTGCCTCAGTCTCCTGAGTAGCTGGGGTTACAGGCGTGCATCACCACATCTAGTTAGATCTGAAACATTTTCATACTACTGCCAGAATAATCTTTCTGAAATATGTCTAAATATATTTGTTCACCTTCAGAGGTTGGTATTATATAGAATAAAACCTGTGCTCCTTTGAGGGTGTGATGGTCTCTCATTCAATGGGAGTGCCTAGCTGTCATTTCGCATAGGTCCTTACCACACAGAATGATTCTCATATCCCACAATTCTGCAAGTGTTTGTGGTCTCCTCTTGCTATGTGCCTGTGCTCATAGTATTCCTTATGCTGCAACTGTGTTCTTCCCTTTTTGACTGGCCAAAATACTCTTGAATGCACATCTCCACTCGCCTTTTTGCCCTCTAGGAATCTTTTGACTTCTCTAAGGCAGCACAGGTTTGTGGGTCTCTTTATTAATTTATACTCATCCCTCATTCCACCAAGGACTTGAGACAATGTAAAACAGACACAACAGGTAAAAGGATAACATGAATGAAGGAGGTATTATATTTGAAGGGAAAGTAAAGATAGAAACACAAATAATACCAGGCATGATGTTAGCCTTAAAATTGATATAACATTAAGTTCTGTAGACTGACACTACAAAGGGACACAATGAAAATCTGCCTCTGGAATTCTCAGCTGTCAAAGTTAAGAGAGATACTTGGTTGCTTGTGAATTTCATAGTGTACACTATAATGAAAGCATCTTTGCCAGTTACTAAAAAATGAGAGGTCATTACATTAAAAATTTCTATAAAGAGGTATGGTAAATTTAGAAGTTTCCTTCCTTGAGCCCTCATTGGCTCTTAAATATAACTCTGTAATTTCCGTAACTTTTTTAAAACATTGATTTCTTCAGGGTAGGGACCATAACCTCAGCCCACTGCTTGATACTTCCTGTTACTCAATTATTTTTTGTTATACAATGTTGAGGTAATGTAGGTAAATATTTTTGTGTGAAAAGTATACAGCTAGAAATCTACCATTTTAGACAACAGACATAAAAATTTAACCAACTGGAAGAGTCTTTATAATAAAAACAATTCTCGGGATACCTATGATGTACCAGATACCATGATGAACACATAATATGCACATTTCATAAGATTTCCAACTAATCCTGTGGATGCTGTTCCACATCTTAAAGCTTGGAAATGAAAAACGTAAATAGGTTTCCCAAGAGTATGCAGGTAGGGAGTGGCAGACTTGGGCTTAGCACTGATGCCTGATAGCAGCCCTGTGACTCTCAACACTTTGCTGTTGGTTTGTGCTTTGGTGTGCAGGTTGATTAAATTGATTAATATTAAATTTATAAAAGGGGACACTTTCTCCTGATGGAAAGGCTTTGCCGCCACTTGCTAGTTCTTTAAGTTTTATTCCAGAAGTTTTTGAAGGAAAGGGCAGCAACTATCTGGCAAATAAAATGCTGTGCTATAAAACTTATTTTCTATAAAGAAATATCAGGGTAGACTCTCACATAAAGCTAAATTTAAAATGTTTTAAAAATTGGAACATTTGACCAGTTTTCCAGTATATATGATAGTATATGGCACAAATTTGTTCACTATATCCAAGGAAACACATAACTTCACTATTTTACAAAAGGATTTGTTCTATTTTAACCAAGTAACTTTCACCAATGAATTGGTAGTTGCCTCTCACCTGAAAGTTGCCAAAACAGCTTCCCCCTGGGAGTGTCACATAACTCACAAAGGGAGGCCCGGAGGATGGCAGAGACTCATAGACGACCACACCTTCGCTTGGGAATGCAGCCCGCTGCTGCTGCTTGCTTTCCCAAAATTCCTGTAACATTGACACAACGTTCACTGAAAAAGATAAGAAACAGCCATCTGTTATTAAGGATGGACATACCCTGGCTAAAACAAATTTTATTTGAAGCTAGATTCTGTAACATGGCAGTTCCAGTAAGGTTGGGGCTGATTTCAGCTTTGAAAAAATATATTTTATTTAAATGTATTTAAATAAATAAAACATATATATATATATATGTGTGTGTGTGTGTGTGTGTTTAGCGAGAGAGAGAGAGAGAGAGAGAGACAGAGAGAATTTTTTAATATTTATTTTTAGTTTTCGGCAGACACAACATCTTTGTATGTGGTGCTGAGGATCGAACCCTGGCGGTACCATGCCAGGAGAACGCGCTACTGCTTGAGCCACATCCCCAGCCCCTGTATATGTTTCTTAATGAGTAAAAAAAGTGGTTTTCAGACTTATCCTAATTTTGAAATTTTTCCTGAATAGACTTTCCCAGAGTGATGTTTATCGGTGGCCTTATTTCCCATTTCTCATCAACTCCCTGCAAAGTGAAAGTCCAGTTGCGAAGTAAAGATGAAATTGATATCATTTTAATTAGGATTCGTCGTTTATAAGATTTAAGAGAAGAAATTCAGAAAGAAGGTAACTCTTATATCCTCCCTCTCCCCCAATCTAAAGGAGAATGAAAGGCAACTGTGGAATAAGCAGGGGGCTGGGAAAGGCCATGAGTGAAACTAATAACATGGAGACCTTGTTAAGGATAAGCTCTGTTAGATGACTTCAGAAAACATGGTAATGGCTAGGCCATGTGTTTTAGATTAAGTGACCCGTGATAGCCTGCAGAAGTTCCAGATCAAATTAGGTTGGTTTGTTTATCCTGTACTCCAAATTGAATTGTGGAAATTAACAAGGATAATAGAATTGTAGAGTCAAAAGTGACCTTATGGGTCATGTAGGCAAAGCTCTGCCTAATGCAGGAATTCCTAACCAGTACTCCTGACAGTTGCCCATCCGGCCTGTACCTGAACATGTGGAARGACCTGGTACGTGACATATCTAAAGCTGGGCGTTTCAACAGCTCATGGTGTGCCAGAGTAAGCTGAAATCTGCTTTACTGTCAGGTTGAATGCAGGGGGTCTGCTTCTCACCTCTGGGGCTTCTCATAATAGTTTATCTCTTAACCCACAGGAGAGACCACCACATATATGAAGGCAGTGTAAGATATCTGCTGTCTGGCATTTGTTTGCCTTCTTGTGTGAAAAGAACAAAGGTTTTACTTGAAGAATCACACAATTTCCAGGGGGTAGGTCTGGGGATTTGACCAAATCCAAATCATTTACAGGCAATGAGTCCAGAACTTTTGTTGGAAATTCCGTTTTTCCTGGGGTTGCAGTAAGTTTAGGAAGTAAGTATGGCACTGCTTAAGTCAAAAAGGAAAGCTGTCTAGAGAGTCAACACAGAGAAGGGTACAACCAAGAGATAGAGAAAGAAAGTGAAGTTCTAATGACCTAGTGTGAGCCCATTGTTCCAGATTTGCCCAGATCCAGAATCCTTAGTTGAGTTACCTAAACAAATGATCTGCTTTTCCCCTTGAGTCATTTTGAACTGGCATTTTTTACTTGCATATAAACATACACCAATACAGACAAGTCTCACATTTCCTGAGGTTCTAGATTAAATGGTTTTTGTCCTTTCAAATATTTTTTACCAACATGGTGTCTATGCCCTCAGCTATTATTCTGAACACGCTGCTGGATGTGCTCCAAAATGCTGTGCATTGATTCTTTTCTGGGAGCCACAAGTGCCAGAAACTTTGATCCAGAGGAAAAACGTTGCACAGCTACTTTCTATCTAAGCTGTTGACTAGAGTACAGGCCCCTCATTGCAGCTCCTCCCTACATCACTAGTGGATCAACTTCATGGTGTATAATTTAAGAAAGCTCTGGAGACTTCTGAGGAATTGAATGTCTAGGGAGATGAAAAAGAAAACTTCAGTGTTTAATATTTAAGAAGTATTTTGGGAAATAAATTGAGAAAAGGTAAGACTATCAGTGGGGAAGTTGAGTTAATAAAATACATACTGAAGGGGGGTTAAGCTTATAATTGACCATTACAGAGCTTTTAAATTCATTTAAAAATTAAAATAGTATTTTCTACAAGTAGATGTAACTCAAAATAGAATAATAATGTTTATATTCTAAACTCTATTTCTGCTTCCTATCCTCTTTTCCTCCTCTTCTTTCCATTTCTAAGAAAACAAGGATTTATGAGTCAACTGGTTTGTGTCTGTACTTGCAGTTGACCTTCAGAACTCAGCAGAGGCGTCCAGAAGATTGAAGCCTAAAACTACTGGAGTAGGCTGTTGATCTGCTACTCAGCAAGGGCCATTAGCTTCCTATTTTAAGTTAATAAACTGTAGAATGAGATTTAGCTGAGAACTGGAGTAGGAAGTTGAGGATTCATGATTATCAAGGAAAAATGAACACAAGAATTTTGGCATATAAAACTATTTGGGTTAAATGGTTTTAAGGTATGTACTAAGTAAGAAGAAAAGCAGCAGTCTTCAACATTTTCATTCTACAACCTTGGAAGATTTCTTTGATGGTCCTACAGATGTCGTCACCCCTATAGAGTACAACATATGTACATACACACACACCATCCATCTTTCTATCTCTATCTCCTCTTGTCAACTGGAAAACCAGATGAATAGAGTGCAAAGGAAAGAAGGCCAGCTTGCTGTTTGGAATTTCAGAGATTGGTGTATACCAGAGGATGCTCTATTTATGAAACACGTGCTCCTTTCTTTTGGTGAGGTAGCATCAGCAACTTTTATGGGCAATTTCAAAGAAAATGTGAGCAGAGGGTCACGTTTGAAAGCAACCACCCAGGACTGAAGTTAAACCTCATTACACAGTTTAATCTCTAGGTGCGCCCAGTCAATTATCCTGCTTTCCATTTAAAGAATAAACCTGAGCTACCAAGTGTGCAATATCCATCCCTACATCTTGTGACCCATTTGCACAAATGTCCAACTCCACCTTATTTCCTATAGTCTCAAATGAATTGTGCTGCTTTTCCTGAGCATTGTTTTCTTAGTCTTTCTTTTGACCTATTTTTCAATGCTTCCTCTACTTACTGYTTCCCAGAAGCCATAATGTGCTTGGGACAACAAATGAATGAATAAGTGAATTAATCAATCAATTACRTGGAACACTCAACTTTGGAACTATTTCTGGCCACTGGTTATGAACTCTTCCTAATATAGCCAAACTGCTAGAAAGAATATTTTACATTGTCTATTTCTGCTTTCTTATCTTACATTCATTTTTTAGCCTGCCACAATCTGGCTTCCCTCTACATTATTTCACTGAAAATACTTTGATGAATATCACCAATTCCTAGCTTTTAGTTCTAATTTATTTGATTTCAGCTGCATTTGATATAGCTATCAGTTTCTTCTGGAAATTCTAGAAATCTGCCTGACAATATTTTCTGCTTTTCTGATAGTATTTCTCCCTGATTATGAGTCTCTTTTCCTAATAATTTCTCCCAGGTTGCTTTTGTAGGTTTCTCTCCCTTTGCTAATTCCTCATGTTGGTTTCCAAATAGAATCCTATCTTGTTTTTTCTTGCTTCTCTCTCTGTTATTCTCCTTGAATGATGGAACCTATCTCCACAACACTATCTGCCATTTTATAAAGAACAGCTCTCAAATTGTTCTCCGGTAACTCCAACTTTGCTAGGTARACACTTCCATTCGGATTTTGCACAAATAGAACATATTCCCAAATTCAACTCACTTTATTTTCTATAAACTCTTATCTTCCTCCTGAATCACTTTTTATCCTTCTGAATTACTTGGAAAGTGATGTTATCACCTACACAGTAACCTAAATCAGAAAGCTGGCAGGAACCTTAAACTTTATTTCCTTTTCATATTTAATGAATGCCCAAGTTCCATCAATTCCATATCCTGGATGTCCCCCAAAGGCATCTCTGCCTCAGTTCACACTACCATTGCCAAGTGGCTCCTACTCCTTCCATCTCACACATATAGCACAGGACCCTTCTGATGCCAGTCATCCTCTCATCCTCCCAGTGTTCTCGGGGCAATAATTTTAGGTCTCATAGGTGATCACATCCTCCACATTTTAAAATCCTTTTGTGGTTCCTCATTACCTGTAAAATAAATAGCTCCTAGCAAGGCATGAAAGATCCTCTGTTTTGCCTTGGTCTTTCATCCCGAACTCCTCTCTCCAAGTTCTTCCTCCCGTCTTCTCATTCTCCTGTATTTCTTTTAGCACTGGCCAGCCCCATACTTCCTTCCATCCTCCTGGAATACCCTCATTTCTACTGCCTACTGTCTTCTTGAATGGTGCCTATTCGTTTTTAAGACTCACCTCCAGCATCAGCTCCTCAAAAATAAAAACAAAATATAATCTCTAGTCATTTGCTAATGAAAGTGCAGTGTCTGGGAAATATCATGAATATCTCTTGGGGATTTGTTAGAAATGCAGAACCTCAGCCCCTACCCCAGTCCTACCAAACTAGATCTTCACTTAAAAAATTCTCAGGCAATTGGATGCAATTAAAGTTTAAGAAGTCCTGTTGTAAGAAGGACTACTCCMATCTCTCTTATGTAATTATTATAAGTCAAACACTGCTTGATCCTTCAACACCCTCTTTTTTTTTTTTTTGTATCAAGGATCAAACTCAGGGGCATTTGACTCCTGAGCTACATCCCCAGCCCTATTTTGTATTTTCTTTAGAGACACAGTCTCACTGAGTTGCTTAGCACCTCACTTTTGCTGAGGCTGGCCTTAAACACAGGATCCTCCTGCCTCAGCCTCCCTAGCTTATGAAATTACAGATGTGTGCCTCCTCACCCGGAAACATCCCCCTTGAAATAGGTATTTTCATACACAGCTTACAAATGAGAAATAAAATAAGTTCAAGGTGCAATCACCCACTTACAAAGTCTTGAATTTTAAATCCAGTCAGTCTGTGTTTCTAGTCTATATTCTTTTTTATCACAAGTTACTCCCTAA